ACTCAAGCGAAACAATTAAACGTGCACGGGAAGCGCGCCGACTCAAAATGGGTCAAGTCCTTCTGAACTGACAGTACACTTCCCATTAGAATATATATATATAAATATATATATATATATATATATATATATATATATATATATATATATATATATATATATATATATATATATATATATATATATATATATATATATATATATATAAGCTGTTTCAAATCGGCCTCACCACCTAATACGTCGTCTTGACCCGGGAATTGTGCATTAAGTTTCGGAGCCTGCCGCCCCGTGAGGAATGCTCGACACCCGCCTGAGGCTCGAGTGAGTTCGCTTCAAAGAATGCTGTCGTAGTCGCGAGTAAGCGCGCGGTGCCATAAATTAACACTCGGCTAGAGCGCTTGTCGCGTAGTGCCGTGATAATCGCCGATAACCTCAAAACTAAATGGCGCGACCAATTTTGACACCGTCTTTCGTCCCACGTTTGTATCTCCGCATAACGGTGTTCGATCCAATAAACAGATAACCGTACGCGTTGTTTAGAAATGGTAGCAAATGAGGGTAATAGATCAAAAGTGTGCACCCACCAACTGACGCGTGGAATGCGGATAATTTCTTAATACAAGAAGAAAAAAAGCGAAAAACAAAGAGAGAAATATTTGAGCGCTGAAAATAAATGCGCGGTTTCCTTCGGATTAATTTAATTACCCATAGCCAAGGACGTGTTTTGTTTGGAAAAAGAAAGACTCGTTCTTCTAGCGCAAAAAGACAGAATTTGTATACGGCTACTGCAGTGCTACGATCTTGGGATTCGTCATTAGATGGTTTGATGCGAGCGCGTGTGAGAAAAATAAATGAATAAATAAACAGGATTTGTCTGGTTTGTTAGCACCACTCGGCGCTGATAACTGCAGTGCAGGCGCGTGTGAGGGTCGTCATAATAGCCGTCCACTCAATCGATGTGCTTACCGTAGCCAAGTTCCGGCCTCGTGCGACACGCAGCATGCTGACGGTTACAGTGCACGAAGTCCGGTCTGTTTAAAGACAATTACCACTTCAGAGCGCCATGACTAATTATCCGCATTGGAGATGGAAGAAAGTTTGTTGTTCGAGCTGTGCAAAGGTAGAGGAAATAATTGAGCGGGGAAGAAATCACGACTCGCTTAATCGGGGATTTCTGGGGTCGTGAGCATCGCGGGTATAGCCGGAGGCTTCCGTACTTTCCGCTCGGGATGCGTGCGCCCTTCCACGCCGTATCGTCCTCGTCACCCGTGTGTGAAAACCGCGCTGCTTGAGCGACGCAACGGAGCCTCACCGCAAGAAAAAAACAACTTGAAAAAAAAAAAAAAAAAAAACGTTGCGGCGGTGGTTATGGTTTCCACGTGGTCAGAGAAATAAAAAAAAAAAGGGAGGGCGCAAAAACACAACCAATCAAAAAGCATCCTCACTCGCTCGCTACGGGATATGGACAAACCGCAGATCTAATCCTGAAACAGCAGCTGGTGAAAACGAAAGTCCCCCCCTCTCTTCTCCCCCCGCTTGGATAAACCATCAGGGTTTCCCGTTTTGACTCGTTTTAAATTCCAAAGAACTATACCGAGTTTCCCGGAGTGAGAGACGCGTGTGTCTGGCGCTCATTTCAATCCTGGAAAATGAGATCACAACGTAGACATCTTTGTAAAAACAATAAAAAAAAAGTCATCCAGTACGAGAGTGTCAATCGCGTTGCGTCTAATTCGCCGAGGCTTCATTCTCGGACGTGAGTGGGAAGGTACAGCCGTACGTTACCCCCGCCAGAGCCCAAAACGAGTTCTCCATCAGAGAAGTGGATTTTCATTCAAACTAGAAGGATCTGCGTCGCGCAACAAAACATGCTCATTCATTGGCTGCTGGGCGGACCGAGTTCCTTTGGTTCCACAGCGACGTTTAGTCGCTCTGCGGGGAACTTCATCGACACTTGGGACGCGCTTCTGACTGACATAAGAAGCCCGAGGTGCGACACACTTCCCAATTTTAAGACCGTGTACGGAGGCTATATAAATTGCTTTTGAACATCCTCTGCGTTAGCTCCGTCAGTACTTTGTGAGCCGACGCCTCACTGCTTGAAGATCATAGTTTGATTGGGCAAACGTGGTGGGCCTGTGACCACGCATCCAAAAGTGTGCGCGTGTGTTTCTTGTGCTAAAGGCTTCTCAAACTTTTTTCGGCGCTTGCCTCCCTCTAGCCTCTAGGACAGCGTAATCTGCTGCACGAAAGCCACGATTGAGCTCGGCGATCATCTATCAAGTCGGGAAAGGCGCGAAAATTTCGGGGTATGATGCTGACGGCGACGAGATTAGTTAATTATTGTAAATATTGACAAAAAAAATAATGGCACTCTTACAGGATTTTGTTTCATAGTTCTGGTTTTTTTCTTTTCAATATTAAAAGAGCGTTTTTGTGTGTGTGTGTTTTTTCCCCTAATGCTAAACAGAAGCCGCACCTCCGAATTATCTAGTTACCTGTGATCAGTTCTTCGCAAAGTCAGGGGAGTAGCGAAGATGCCTAAATTAATTAGCGGCGGTGAACCTGCGGTTGGAAGATTATTTTCGCGGTTTTAGGTATAAAGAGCGTGGCGATTCGCCAAATTAGGACCTTTTGGATACTTTCCGATCATTTCACTCGCGAACACAGATGCGCTAAAAGGCACTGGACTGCACCTGTCGCAAAAATAGATCTGGGGTCATTTTCAGTCTAGAATTCCTTCGGAATCGTCCAAACAAGTTCAATTTAACATTGCCACATTAGAAAATATATAGATATATATGCCGAAACGTCGACTGACTTTACAAATAATATATTATAAAACTCCAAACAACCGTCTCAAGTACGTTTTCCTGCGTGTGTATATATGTAATGCCCCATGTGGGCCTTTAGAGGTAAATAAATAAAATAAAATATATATATATATATATATATAAAACTAGGACCAGCTTAACGAGCTTAAACATAGTAACATCAATCTAAAATTAAATGTGCTAGGCGTAATTAAGGTCCGCCGTATCGCCCCCAAATTGTAAATATAGGATACGGCACCCTCAGGCCAGGTAGAGAGCGACTAATTTGCTTCCAGAGGCACCCATCGGAATGGGGGTCGTTGTAATCCAGTGGCGGCGTAGTAACGCGGCGGCTGCTTTACTTTACCCAACACCGCTGCTTATTGACTACATCTAGAAACGCGAGCGATAGGGGCAGCTGAGAAACAGGGCAGTAATAACTGACACATGAACTCGGACATTTTGTTTTTGTAGTCCTTGCCTTTTATCACTGGCTTTGCATTTGTGTTGAGACTGGGCCCACCTGAATTCTCAATTAGAGTCGTACGTAGTCTCATAGATGATGAAAATAATCCCTGGAGAAGGGGAACAAGAGGGACAAAGGACAAACACAAATCTCCAAACACATCTCATAGATGTTTGTTGTTGTTTTTACCGAACACTACTACAGCCACAGGTGAACGATAATTTTATCACACGAGCATCGAATTCGTGTAGTCAACGCAGAAGAGAACTGGGGATGGGACATCTCGAACGTCTTTCCATAAATAATAAAGTGCATTCACTTTCTCTCTCTTTTTATAAAAGAAAAAAAAAAAAAAGGTTCAAAAAAGGGGAAAATACGCTCAAAACGAAAGCTGCTTTGTCCGACTCCTCGTAATAAATCCAAATATGTAGTCCCCAAAACCTACAACTTTTTCTTTACTCTTTTTTTTTTTTTTGTGAGGGGGGGGGGGGGGGTGAAATTATTTAAAGCGCACGCATTGGCGGTTTGCTTAATTTCTGCGGATTTCAGCGAACACTTGAAAGTACATGCTCACAGCAATCCATATTGCGAGCCCTTAACTTTCGCGAATAAGATGACCCACAAAAAAGTTAAGGTCTCGGGCACGTTCAAACAAGAATGGATAGATCACTCATAAATAAAGCAACGCACCCTTCCTGAAAAAAAAAAAAAAAAAAAAAAAAAAAAAAAAAAAAAAAAAAGCGTAATTGACGTTTTGAGCCCAAAGAGGGAAAGAAAAAGACCGCTGCCAATCGCTTTTCAAAGACCGAACACTGGAAAGAAAGTGTGCCCCAAAAGGACGGCATTCGGTTTCCGCGGACAGGGCGGCTCGTAACGGCGCACCACGGAACGGAACCAACGGGGAAAAGAACGGTTCCCACGAGGCCGTGCGAGCGCGGACGGACGCTGCCGCGCGGGTAGCCCGCGTCGTCCGCGCCCGAGAGGTGACCGACTGGGCCGCGGCCGGTGGGAGCACTCGTTAATGGGACCGCTCTAATCGCGTTCCGCGAACGCGGCGATCGCTGGACGGATCTATTATGCATGTGGAGCTTCGAAGAAGTCAGCCCGCGGGGCCAGCCCTGGGAGGTCCACCCGCGGATCCACCGGACAAAAACAAACGGCTTCGTTGACAGCCGCATCGCCGGGACGGTAAAACGGGATCAGACGCCTGCCTCTGCCCGGTCGTTCGGACGCGACCTGTGAGTTGACGTCACCGCGACGGCATCACGCAAGACACAGCATTTGTTTCTTTCGCAAACACTGCGTTTGTGCGTGTTATGTCCACGCGCTGCGGAGACTACGGCCTTTCTCCGGTGACTTGGGTGAAAGCCCTCCCGCTTGAGCCAAGTTCGTGTGTACACATGGTCACACGATTCCGATCTACGGGAGGTCTCCGAGCCCCGAGGCGATTTGGGGAACGTCGTCACTCGTTTCGTTACTTGGCCGGACGGTGGCCGTGAAAGTGCCCCGGGAGCGAACGGTGAGGGCAACAACTCGAATCCAGCGCGCCTGGCGCCAGCCACGACGGAAGCTCGGTGGGACGTCCGACGCAGAGCGGGCGCCCCTTCGCGGAACGGCAGTCGCGAACAGCCGGGACGTCAACAGAGAGCCGGCGAGATCAGGAAGGCTTCGGGGGAAGCGTTCCTGACCTCTGGCCAGAGAGAGGACGAACGGGTACTCACGAATTTTCGCTTGGCCTTGTCGGCCTCCTCGTTGGCGACGCGCGCCCGGTTGGCGACGGCGTCGAGCAGCGAGCGTATGTCCTCGGCGGTGATTTCTCCGCGCGAGGCGACGCTGTCGTCCAGGCTGCACGGGTTGACCCAGAGCGGGTGGTCGTTGCCGTCGGTCCGAGACACGGGCGCACTCATGGTGGAATGCAGCAGCACGGCGAGCACTAGGAGCCAGGTCCCGGTATCTGGAGGCAAGGCGCCAAGGCCCGGTCGGTGGCTTCTTCGCAGGGGCCACGCCGCGCAGCATGGCTCTTTTCCGACAGGCGCGACTCTCGATTTCATGCTGCCATGACGCTTATCTCAAACAAATGGCATGCATGTTTCCCGCAACTTGTTCATAAAAAGATAAGGCCCCATTTTCCCTTCCCTCCGCCCGGATATGGATGTGACGTACGGGGGGGCGCCTCGATTGGTCGGGATTCTCAGGTGCGCCGGCCCATTGGCTCGCCGCCGAACCGCCCGCCCAGCACGTGGGCGGACAGAGCCTTAAAAACGCTCGCGCGCTTTTTCCCTCCCTCCGGCGTAGGTGTTCATTGAGCCAACAGGTTCCGACGACAGCGCCCCTCGGATCCGCTGCCGCGCCGAGGGAACCACCAGTAGAGCGGGCCACGCGGGACGGCGCGGGCGCTCGCGCGGGACGCCCGCTTCGCGCACACCGCGGGCACGTCTCCGGACGCCGCTCTTCAGTGAACTGACGCGCTGCGATAGCCTCATTGATTCTTACGTGGGGTAGGCTCATTTTACGGACGCTGTCAGAAATAAGGCGGTTGCTCAATTTCTGCCGGTAACTGTCATTGGTGCTTTAAAAATTAATTCTATACCGCAAAGGTCGTCTCTTTTTTTTTTTCTTTTCCTAGTGATCATTTCACTCACCACCTGGGTCGTTTCCCGTTCGCTCTTCCTCAACGTCACCAGATTACGTGTCGTTACCTAGGGAAACCACAGACATCGTAGGTTCGGCGACGACGAATGCATTACTTTATTTCAGTGATAGTGGTCTCGGGATTACCAAACGTACTTCTACAGCTACATATACAGAAAACAAAAAGAGATGATGTTTATTTAAAGTAAACTTGTGGGGGGTGACAAGTTTAAAAACCCAGAAGAAGCTCCGCCTCCCGCACATGCTCTGTGCCTTCCGTCGGGATTTGGCAGCGCGTGTATGAAGTGTCATCAGAGGAAAAAAGCTCGTGCTCGAGGCGGAGCATCTACAGAGTTCTTCGTCTGTTACCGACTATGCGCCGAGAAAGTGAGGGAGAGGGGGAGACGAGAGGGAACGTCAGAACGCCGAGCTCTGATTGGAAGGATTAGTGGGGAGACCTAAAGCTAGCTGCCGTTGTCTCCACTGCACTCGTTGAACGTGTTAGAACGCAGAACGCCGGCCTTTAGCTTTTGCATTCGAACGCTTTCGACACGTGCAGTAGAGACAAAGGCCTAACCATTCGAATCAGAACTCGGCGTTCTGACGACCCAGCGCACTCTCGTGTCCTCCTCTCACTCACTTCCTCGGCGCATAAAGATCTCTTGTTCCGTGAGACAACAAAAAGAGAAAGAAGACGAGCGACTTCTGTCTTTGTTAATACCTTTTCTAGCGAAAACGCTCTATACATCAATAAACGAGGGTGCCCATAACGTGTACGGTAACAAACACTTACTCATCCGTTTAACGCGAAAGAAAAAAAAAATTGAACCGACTTTTTTGGCGACATCACCCAACCTTCCAAACCTCACCAAAGCAAAAACGTCGCCATATTTTGTTATTTGGTTGGCGCGACGGACGAGCGCGCATCAGAAACGGCCTGTACGTCGGCCAACTGAGGCGACCTCTTCTCCGCAGACAACCGAAGCTTCCTGAGCGGTGCCCCCGCTAGGACACCGTCCGTACTTCGGCCCCCCGACCAACACCGGCAGAGCCCGTCGTGCAGGGAGGCGAAGGGGGGAAGCCCAACGACGGCGACGGAGTCCGACCGCGGGCCCCTCCTCGCCCCAGCGTGCATCCAGCGTCTGCTGCCGCCTTGCCCGAGCCCACTTCCGAGTCTCGCTCGTGCAGCGAGCAACATTCGGCGGCCTACCTGACAGCTTTAGCATCAGCCCTGTAACACCTGGTGCCACAGCCGATAAATAACAGCATTCCGAACGGCACGCCGAGGGGAACGCGGGCCGCGAGCTGGCTGACCGACGCGCGTTGTCGGTGGAGCCTCGACGCCACCGACAAGAAGAAGCGACTGCCCTCTTGGCGAGGGGTGCGCTGTGGAAATACTGGTGGCCGCCGGCGGCGCCGTATTTATAGGGGGGAGGGCACTTCCCCGCTGGTTGGAATAACGCCTCGTGTTCCGTATGGCAGCGTCGCAGCGGGGGGTCATCTGTTGACTGGGGGGCTTCAATGGGCGCGCTGTCCGGGCCGAGACGACACGCGTTCGGGACCCCCGTGATTTGTTCTTCCTTCGGATTGGGTTACACTAATTCAGATGGGACGTGTGTCGTAGGATCCTACGAGGATCGCGTTATCACCTCGTGACGCGATCGCGAGATTTCGCAAAAAGTCCGACTAAATGACGGCGCTTCAGAATGGCGTCGTGTGCGCGAAACTCGACCAGTGGGCCTTGGAAACGTTCTCGTTGGTCCTCAGTTTGTTTTCTGTTTTCCACGATGTTCACACAATCGCCCTTTGTTCTCGAGGCCCTTCGTGCCGAATAAAGTGGTCTAGATAACGTGCGAATTTGAAAGTCAGAAACGACCGGGTGTAGAAAGCACACATCTATGCTCACTCGTCAAGGCAAGCGAGCGGAGCGACTCCCTATTCTGAAAGTTACCGGCTTCGCTGCCGAATTTCAGGCTTGCCTTTGTATCCATACTAATTCCTCGGCCGAGATTTCTCTCAAATTAATTCCTCCCGATTGATCGCTTCTTAGTCAGAATCGTCATTTCATTCTTTCATGTCTGACTACATTCCACTGTCCCGAATAGTTCGCAACTCCGCGATTGAAAAAAAACAAAAAAACATAACGTAATATAACAAATCTACGCCACACCCAGTCGCTCAGCAATATTATTTCCTCGTCGACAAATCAGAACAGAAACCAGACCAGGAATTACTTTTTTTTTTCTTTTTCGCTACCTTTGCAATACAGGATGCGCAAGCCGACACAAGGGAAGGAAGTGATGAAATTTCAGTGTTGCCTTCGAGCCCTCCCTTTTTTTTTTTTCTTCGCCTTCTTTCCCACTTGACGACCGAACAATACGACGATGTGAGTGTATGCTCAATCATGCGTAAACGATAGAGCTGTCAGTCGCGACTCCCCATCTCCAGTGCGAGCGCCCCACCACTTGAACGCTGTTTATGAACAGCCTGAAACTAGGCTGTTACCCGCCGCAGGTCTCGTCGACAGAGCGATGCTCCGAGAGTGCGCGGAGGAAGCGACGCGTCACCGGAGTGCATGCGCGATCGCCGTCTAACAACGCGGCCGGGGGCTACAAGTCCCTGTCCAGCCTGAGATGGAGCTTCCCATGGCGGCCGTCGGATCGCGAGGTGCGGCACGCTCTCCAGGCGCTGATGCGGTTCCGATGGAATACCACGCACGCTCGGAAGCGACATTGTCCGAGAACTCGAGAGCAAATATTAACCTTCATAAACTCCAACTTAAAAAAAAAAAAACAAAAAAAAACTGGGGTTTTGTTCAGCAACGTGTCCCCGAAATGTTGTTACAATGCATCAGTTGGAGATCCTGCCAAATATGTACTCGCCAATAGTAATATAATTGCATATATATATATATATATATATATATATATATATATATATATATATATATATATATATATATATATATGTACAATTTTTTCTTTTTTTTTTTTTTTTCTTAATGCTTTTAGTGAGTTTTAAATTGCGCGCTTTAAAAATAGACATTCGGAATTGGTATCAGGTTGGTTTCGCACGTGTATATAGTTAACTTCGAGGACATTATGATATTTGTTGTTGCTTGGGGTTAATACCTCCGGTATAATTTAATTCGGAATATTGACCGAAATTCCTCGAGTTACGCACGAAGCTTCTCTTTTTCCAAGCCGTTCTATACTATTTTTATGCTGTTTCCGCGTTTCATTGAAGCTGAACTTTGGTAATACGTATGAAAGCCGGACTGATCTGTCAAATAACAATAAATTAGGGAGACTACACAAATGAACTTTTCTTTTACTGGCAAAGCTTAGTCGCTGAAAGTTTCGTTCAGGACCCAAGCCTCTTGGCGGTATTGTTACAAACAGCACAAAACAGAAAACAAAGGCACACCCGAAAACGATGTGAGCGGTTTTCAGGAGCTCGTGGGCAGACTTGTACAGTACTAATTGCAAGTAATCAAATTACTCGTAATTGATTATTTTTGAAGAAATTTGTAGTCAATTAACTACTTCTATTTAGGCAGTAATTGCAAGAGTAGTTTTACTGCTTTTAGAAGTAAAAAGGAAATACTTGTAACCGCTCTATTTTTTCGCCCCTCCCCCCTCCCCCTTACCAGAGTGCGAGTTAAAATACTCCGATATGTTAACTCTATCAGCTTGTAAGTAACGTCCCCAGAGGTTATTCGGATTGCTTCATTTAGCTACAGTGGCCTAGATAGAGCTCCCGAAACGTGACTTTTGTGCCCATTGTGGCTTATCCTTCGTCCCCAAGTTCTCAGGAAGAAGATTTTCTCTCCCCTTCTTACTGGCGCTCTTTGTTTCCCCAAGTTCCATCCCAAGAAATCATCTAATCAAGTCGCCGACAGGGGGACGGTCTACCAAAAGTGGTGGATTGAGAAGATGAGCAGTTCGTCGTCGGGTGGTTTAAATTCAATCACGAAGAGTACGAAGGACTCGTTTCGCTACCGGACGAGAACTTGGTCATTTTGGAAATCAGAAGTATTTGGAAAAGTAATGGTTACTTTTTCAAGTAAAGGTGCATGACTTTTCCCCTGAAGTAATCTAACTGAACACTTTTTCAACCAAGAGTGATTGGCAGTTTGATACTTTAACATCATGTTCCAAAAAACAAACAAAAAAAAAAAAAACAGCCGTCAGATAGTTAAAGGCCGACGACCAGACCCGAGATTCTGCAAGGCAGAATACCCTCCTCACCATGGGGAAGGAGGAAACCGGCAGCGGTGGGCAGTGTAGAAGGGGGGAGAGGAGGAAGCGAGGGAATAGTGGA